AAGAACAGCCCTTTTAGTAATCATACAACATTACTCCAGAAAAGGAGAAAGTAGTAAACTCTTACTTATGATATCATTCAAATTAACATAATGAAGTAACGCTAAAGATCCTTAGATACATTTTTGTTTTTTTGATATGGTGAAACCAAAACTCAGTGACTCGGATGACACCAAGTTGATACGGGATCATAGAAAAATAACTTTAAGTTGATAATTTGAGTTAAATAATTTAGTAAAACCATATTCAACCAAATGCAAATGGGCACAATGTCATACCAGGAACCAAAGGGTTCCAAGGGATTTATTTTTGTACTTTAGGTGAATCTAAGAAAATATTATTTTTAATGAAAATTTCCAAAATAAAATATGTAAATTTACAGCCAGTAAAATAAGACATATGGAAGACTGGTATTCCAAAAAGATCATATAACTAAATAAAGAGTTCCATGTTAGAAATAGGAAAAAAATATGGAAGGGGAAAGGACTTGTCAGGCAAAATATCTGATAAAAATTATCACTGGTTCTTATAATTTTTATCAGATATTTTGCCTGACAAGTCCTTTCCCCTTCCATATTTTTTTCCTATTTCTAACATGGAACAAATGCCAAATGTCTTCTTTGATATAAGGAGAGTAACTAAGAACAGAGTAGGGTCGAAGAGCATGAGAAGAAGATTAACATTAAACAGGGATGAGAGGTGGGAGGGAAAGGGAGAGAGAAGGGAAAATGCATGGAAATGGAAGGAGACCCTCAGAGTTATACAAAAGTACATACAAGAGGAAGTGAGGGGAAGGGGAAAAATAATATAAGGGGGACAAACGAATGTCAGTAGAGGGAGCAGAGAGAGAAGAGGGGAGGGGAGGGGACGGGAGGGGAGGGGAGGGGAGGGGAGGGGGGATAGTAGAGGATAGGAAAGGCAGCAGAACACAACAGACACTAGTATGGCAATATGTAAATCAATGGATGTGTAACTGATGTGATTCTGCAATCTGTATATGGGGTAAAAATGGGAGCTCATAACCCACTTGAATCAAATTGTGAAATATGATATGTCAAGAACTATGTAATGTTTTGAACAGCCAACAATAAAAAATTTAAAAAAAAAATTATAAGAAGACATTTGACTTAACTTTCAATATTTAAAGAAAATTGGTGAATCTGTAGATTGGTAATGACTTCCAACTGGATTCCTTGAGAAATAACAATATAGTTTGGACAAAATGGCTCAGAGCAATTATTGGAGAGTTAGGAAAATGATACAAATTCTTGCTAGGATCCCATGTTCAGAAAGGGGATTTGTATTTGTTTCCACTCTTTCTACCCTGAGAACAGGTGTCATTGGCAGAACCCCTTATGGAATAAAGTCCTGATTTTCTGGCCTGGAAAAGCAAAATATGAAATCAAGGCAACTGTAGTTGCTGGAAAAGTGAGAGGAAAAATGTTGGAAAGGAAATATCTAAAGAGGGTATCCGCAAATTTAATCTACCTACATCTTCAACAGCCCCTTGCAACATGTTTGTGGGGGTTCAACTAAAGCAGTTTAGTTAAAGTCAAAGAAATCAGTTAAGACAGGAGTTGCTATCCAAGACCAAAACCAAACCAAACAAACAAATCATGAAAGAAAAGAGCCTCCAGTATTCATAACTTGATACGTTGTAATGTTTGTTATAAAATACAAGCTTTATCTGATATAGGAGAACCAGGAATATGGAGCTCCTTCTCAAAGAAAAGAAAAGCAAGTGAGGCCAACTCTGAGGTGATTTACATGACAGAATTAGGAGGAAAGGAATTTAAAGTCACTATTTTAATCATTGTCAATGATATAAAGAAATATTTGATCACCTAATGAAAAGATGGGAAATATCAGAAAATAAAATGAAAAAGACCTAAGAAGATAAAATGATGAAAAAGACCAAATAGGTCTATATCAAAAAATGTAATAGTGAAGTTTTAAAAAATCTGAATAGATTTAGCAGAAGAATGGAATTAGCAGCAGAACAAATCAGTAAATTTAAAGATCAACAGAAATTATTGAAGCCGAAGAATGAAGAAAAAAAATGGTTGAGAAATAAATGAGCTTATGGTATCTGCTAGACATCAAAGAGCCTAATATAAATGTGATTTAATATCTAGCAGGAAAAGAGAGAAAAATTCAGAAAAAAATATTTGAAGACACAATGTTTGAAATTTTCTAAAATTTGAGTAAAAACTATATATATATATTTATAGACTTAAAGAGAACATTAAAATGTCAAATAGTTGGGTAAGGATAACAGACTATTTGATTGCTTTATTTTTTTCTTCTAAATTTCCTCAAATACTTATTACTATGTAACTATATTTTTTGACTTGTAAGAATGTATTAGACATGCATATAATAAATGTAAAAACCTTAGTCTTGATAGTTATAGGAGATAATTTAATCTATATGGTGCCAAGAGTTTTATATTTGGTATGAAGTTGTAGCACATTAATTTTAAATATACTGTTATCTTAGTCTGTGCTTCTGTAACAAATTATCCTAAACTCGGAGGCTCATAAACCACATAAATTAATTCTATCCAGTTGTGGGGTGTGAGAATCCTGAATTCAAGTTGCCTGCAGATCTGGTGTCTGGTGAAGGCCACCCTTCTGGTTATTAGTACTCTCTTACAGTGTGTTCATATAATGGACAGGTCAACGTGTCTCCCTACTATATGAGTACTAATCCCATCACAGAGTGCTCTGTCTTCGTGACCTAATCATATCTATAAATCCTCATATCGTAATCATCATTTTAAGGATTAGGATGGCATCATATGAATTTGGGGTCACAAGCATTCACATCCCCAAAACTGTAAAATGTTGAATGTTTATTTTAATGCCTGGAATGGACAATAGAAAATTAATTACACAGAAGTATAAATTAAAGTCAATTGAAAATAAAATTTGATTCTAAAATAAACATAAAATTTAAAAGGCAAGAAAGAAAAAACAAAAGCCAAGAGGGAATGGTTACAAAATAAATAATGATAGTCACAAGACTAACTACATCAAAAGTTAATACTACATAATAACTAATTAAAACTCACAATAAAAGATATAGGCCTAAATTTCCCTCTAAGGAATTGAGAAAAAATATAGTAATTAAAACTCAGATTAAACAGAAAAAAGGAAATAACAACCAAAAGAGAAATAAAGAAATTTAGAACTGAAGAGCAATACAAATAAGTAATTAAACCAAAGATTTGTAAGGTTAATTGACTCTGTCAAATGTGCCAAGTAAATTATGGGTTGAAAGGATAGCCTTTAATCAACAGTAATAGAAAATTGATTTCTACATGGAATATAGGGAATGTCCACAATGTATCCATTTGCAAAAATTAACTTAACAAGAACTATAGAGTCAAAGGGCTATAGTTAAATTTTGAGCTTCTTTACGTTTTGAAGAAGACAAATTAGAACATCTTTGTGTTATTTTGGAGTAGGCAGAATTTCTTAGAACATGGACACGCTTGTGCATACACACACATATATGTCTATCATAAGAGAAATAGCTAAATGTACTTTGCAAGATAAAATACCAGACAAGTCACAGAGTAGGAACAGACATTTTCTAAAATATATCTTTCAAAGATATATTTTTTGGAAACATAAGCAAGCCTTGCAACTCAACCATAAGATAAACAACTCAATTAAGAAATGAGGGAAAGTTTTGAACAGACACTTTACAAAAGAAGGAATATGAAAGGCACATAAGCAGCTGGAAAAGCTGTTCACTGTTGCTATTTGTCATAGAAATGCATTTTCAAATCACAGTGACATACCAACCCAAAACAAAGACTTAAAATATTTTCACCAGTTGCTGGAAGAAATGGTATTCTCACAGCTGATAGAAAAACAAAATGATATACCCACATTGAGAATAGTTTGACAATTAAACATATACTCACCATATGATCTAGCCAACTTATTCCTAGGAATTTACCCAAGTAAAATGAAAATGCATGTCTACAAAAATTAACATGTGAATGTACCAAATATGTAACAACTAGAGATACAAACATCCATTAACTAATGAATAGTAAGTAGGTACATTTATATTATTGAATACTAATCAGCAGTAAAATGGAACAAAGTATTGGTATGTAAACAACTTGCATGAATCTCACAAGCATTATTCTAAGTAAAGAAGACAGGAGACAGATTAAACACTGTGTGTGCACTTCTCTTACATTCTAGAAAAGGCAAAATGAGTTATAAATCAGTAGTTGCTGGAGCTGGGAGTTGGGAATGAGAACAAAATTCACAAAGTGATTAATTTGAGGAGTTTCAGAAATGTTTGATATCTTAATTAGGCACATAGTTACAGGACAACACACAATTAACAAAACTTATTAACTGTTCACTTATAAGAGTGAATATTTTTCTATGTAGATTATATCATAATGAGTTTATGGAAAAGAAAAGAAAGTATCAGAAGCCTCTTCCTCTCCCCAAGAAATAAAACCCTTAACATAACAAGGGTGGTTAAATGAGTACTCACTCTATTTTCTTTTGTAACAAAAGTGATTTTTCTTTTTGGAGAAATTAGAATAATGATAGATAGGAAAAGTACAAAAAAGAAAGATTCACTCATGTTATTTCCAGATATTTAGTGTCCATACAAATAAGGCCTTGTGTTAATTTGAAATGTCAATTTGATTGAATTAAGGGATGCAGAGGAGGGGCGGGATGTAGCTTAGTGGAAGAGTGCTTTCCATGCATGCACAAGGTCCTTGGTTCAATCTGCAGCATCTCAAAATAATAATAATAATAATAATAATAATAATAATAATAATAATAATAATTATAATAAATGCAGAGGAAAGGCTTCTGGGTGTGTAAATTGAGGTTGCCTCTAGGAATGTTTGGCATGTGGGATAGTTAACTAAAATGCAGACCCTAGCGGCAGCAGTGGCCGCGCAGCCCGCGGCATGGAGCGGCGCCTGGGCTAAGCCGGGCGCGCACGGGCCGCCGCATGTGCCGCGCGGGGGGCGGCTGCAAGCGGGCTGAAAGCGAACGCAAGGGCCCCGTCGGAGCGGCCGCCGGAGCAGTGCAGGAGATGGGGCATAAGGGCCACTTGTTCTGAAATTATTTTAAGGCAAGAAGTTTTGAAAGATGGTTTCCACAGAGACCTTTTAATAAAAGTGAAATTTGGAGAAAGCATTGAGGACTTACAGACCTGCAGACTCTTAATTAAACACTATATCCCAACAGGACTTTTTGTGGATCCTTATGAGTTGGCTTCATTACGAGAGAGAAACATAACAGAGGCAGTGATGATTTCAGAAAACTTTAATATAGAAGCCCCAAACTATTTGTCCAAGGAATCTGAAATTCTCATTTACGCCAGACAAGATGCACAGTGCATTGATTGTTTCCAAGCCTTTTTGCCTGTGCACTATCGTTATCACCGGCCACATAGTAAAGATGAAGAAACATTTGTTATAGTCAACAACCCAGATTTATTGATGTATTGTGACCAAGAGTTCCCGATTTTGAGGTGCTGGGCTCAGTCACAAGTGGCAGCTCCTTGTGCTTTGAAGAGTAAGGATATATGCCAGTGGAACAACATGAAGTATAAATCAATATATAAGAATGTGACTCTACAAGTTCCAGTGGGACTGACTATACATACCTCTTTAGTATGTTCTGTGACTCTGCTCATTACAATCCTGTGTTCTACTTTGATTCTTGTAGCTGTTTTCAAATATGGTCATTTTTCTTTGTAAATTTTATGCAGTTTAATGTTTTCTATAAACCAAAAAAGATATGTTAATGTGACTAGAGGTGTTCTTCAAGAATTAACTCATTGCTTTGTTATTTTTTTCTTTTTTTGAGGCAACAACAGAGGTAGTCATTATTAAAAGAACTGAAATAAATCTCCCAAGTCATATATCTGAGGAACTGCATAATTAAAAAATAATGGCCAATATTTCTAGAGGTCATTATATGTCAAAAACACTTCTGTATTAGGTACTTCATCTTCTTTCACTCATAATAGCTCTAGAATTCAGGTACTATGACTGCCTATATTTTATAGGTAACATGATCAGAGTTCACCATATAGACTGCCCAAGGTCACACTTGAACTCAATGGAAAATCATGGATGCAAATTCAAACAATTTGAACAGCTTACTCAAGAAGAGAAAGATGAAAAACAAGACACTACTCCAGAAAACCTTGGGATGAGATTATAATCAAAAACTATTTTCAATAATATATGGTAATTATGAACATTTAGAAAAGCTAATGTACAGTGGAGCCCAACAATCATTACATAATCAAGACCTATTTTAGGAAGATTAGGAAAATGGCATCTGGAGGGTGTCAGAGAGACTTGAGTGCTGAAGTGGGAAAAGGATGTGTTGGGGTGAATCCACATACTTCCTGATGATAAGAATATACATTGAAATTGATGAAAGTGTTACTATTTGAAATAAAGACATTTTCTTCATTTTCTTTTAAAAAAAAAATAAAAAATAAAAAAATAAAATAAAATAAAATGCAGACCCTACCTAAGCATGGGCAGCACCATCCAATAGGATGATGGCTTGGATGGAATAAAAGTTGGAAGAACAAGGAAGCAGCAGTAGATGCAAGCTGGATTCTTCTTGAACGGATTCTTTATTGGTGCTATGATCTTCTGAGGGTATTGAACTCTGACTTTTTTACTCTTCCAATGCGGACTCTGCCAGTGATTCTCCAGGGAGTTTCTAGAAGTCTTTAGTAAAACCCTTGTTCTGGGACTTCAGCCTCTTGGACTATACAGCTGTGGGTTCTACCAGCTCTCCAGCTTGCAGACAGCCATTGTATTACTATTCAGCTTCTGGTCATGTAAGCCAACCTAATAAATCCCCTTTTTATAATAATATTTCCTGTTGATTCTGTTCCTCTAGAGAACCATGACTAATACATTTGTTTATCTTTTTGGCTTTTTAAAAATGTCTTCTCATTTTGAGGACATGTTTCTACATTTCGCTTATTAATGGGAAGATTTTAAAATAATGATACCATTGAACTAAAAACTATTTCAGTTGAGAAACTGATGTGACTCCATTTTTGAGAAAACAGCTTCTACCTCAAGGCCTGTCCAGAGGGAGGGGTCATGACCCTTGTCCTTGGAAAAACCTACAAAGGGCTCCTAGGCACATACCCACCTTGCTGAGTTGTTTGTCTGTAAATAACTGGAGAGATCTGGAGTTCCAGGTGTTCCTGACTCAGTTACACTAGGTGAGGACCCATAGCAATCCCCTAGCAACCATCAATCAGAGTGAGACAGGGAAAATACCTGAAATGCCAGGTGACCCTCCCAGTAGTTTCGGTGATTGATAACATGATTAAGAAACCCTGAAGTTTAGCATATACACTCTTGCAACCCCTCAAAGTCTAAACCAATCAGTTCAAATGTATCCACCACTTGAACTAACCAATCACCCTTACCCGACTTGTTCCTGCCAGTGAATGTGCTAATCAATGTTAAGAGTTGTTGTTTGATTTTCCCGAAATATGAAATGATTTGCTTTGTGATGTTGTGAGGCATACAGTATCCCCAAAAACCTATAAAGTCTCACTGAACTACGGGTTGGGTTGAGACTCACTCCTTCTTTGGGACTGCTGCATCAGAAACATTTGTGAGTCCAGGCTAGAGCTTGCAATAAAGACTCTTGTGTGATTGCATTGGATTCAGCTCCTGAGGGTCTATTGGGGTCCCAGGAATCTGGCATTACACAGTTAACCAATTGGAAGTATATATTTAACTATGAAATAAATGTATTCCTTTAAAATTTGCTATGTTTAACTGTGAACTAGCACTAGAATGACTTTTATACCAGTTTTGCATGGACACATTCACAAGTAGCTGACATCAAGCATTATTAACAAATTATTCATAAGTAACTAACTGGCTTATTTAGACAAACTCAGTGTCCTGGTACAAAGAAGGCAAGCAATTGAGTTTTTCTTTTTTTTTTTTAAATTTTTTATTGTTGGCTGTTCAAAACATTACATAGTTCTTGATATATCATATTTCACAATTTGATTCAAGTGGGTTATGAGCTCCCATTTTTACCCCATATACAGATTGCAGAATCATATCAGTTACACATCCATTGATTTACATATTGCCATACTAGTGTCTGTTGTATTCTGCTGCCTTTCCTATCCTCTACTATCCCCCCTCCCCTCCCCTCCCCTCCCCTCCCCTCCCCTCTTCTCTCTCTGCTCCCTCTACTGACATTCGTTTGTCCCCCTTATATTATTTTTCCCCTTCGCCTCACTTCCTCTTGTATGTACATTTGTATAACTCTGAGGGTCTCCTTCCATTTCCATGCATTTTCCCTTCTCTCTCCCTTTCCCTCCCACCTCTCATCCCTGTTTAATGTTAATCTTCTTCTCATGCTCTTCGACCCTACTCGGTTCTTAGTTACTCTCCTTATATCAAAGAAGACATTTGGCATTTGTTTTTTAGGGATTGGCTAGCTTCACTTAGCATAATCTGCTCTAATGCCATCCATTTCCCTGTAAATTCTATGATTTTGTCATTTTTTAATGCAGAGTAATACTCCATTGTGTATAAATGCCACATTTTTTTTTATCCATTCATCCATTGAAGGGCATCTAGGTTGGTTCCACAGTCTAGCTATTGTGAATTGTGCTGCTATGAACATCGATGTAGCAGTGTCCCTGTAGCATGCTCTTTTTAGGTCTTTAGGGAATAGACCGAGAAGGGGAATAGCTGGGTCAAATGGTGGCTCCATTCCCAGCTTTCCAAGAAATCTCCATACTGCTTTCCAAATTGGCTGCACCAATCTGCAGTCCCACCAGCAATGTACAAGTGTACCCTTTTCCCCACATCCTCGCCAGCACTTGTTGTTGTTTGACTTCATAATGGCTGCCAATCTAACTGGAGTGAGATGGTATCTTAGGGTGGTTTTGATTTGCATTTCTCTGACTGCTAGAGATGGTGAGCATTTTTTCATGTACTTGTTGATTGATTGTATGTCCTCCTCTGAGAAGTGTCTGTTCAGGTCCTTGGCCCATTTGTTGATTGGGTTGTTTGTTCTCTTATTGTCTAATTTTTTGAGTTCTTTATATACTCTGGATATTAGGGCTCTATCTGAAGTGTGAGGAGTAAAGATTTGTTCCCAGGATGTAGGCTCTCTATTTACCTCTCTTATTGTATCTTTTGCTGAGAAAAAACTTTTTAGTTTGAGTAAGTCCCATTTGTTGATTCTAGTTATTAACTTTTGTGCTATGGGTGTCCTATTGAGGAATTTGGAGCCTGACCCCACAGTATGTAGATCGTAGCCAACTTTTTCTTCTATCAGACGGCGTGTCTCTGATTTGATATCAAGCTCCTTGATCCATTTTGAATTCACTTTTGTGCATGGCAAGAGAAAGGGATTCAGTTTCATTTTGTTGCATATGGATTTCCAGTTTTCCCAGCACCATTTGTTGAAGATGCTATCCTTCCTCCATTGCATGCTTTTAGCCCCTTTATCAAATATAAGGTAGTTGTAGTTTTGTGGATTGGTTTCTGTGTCCTCTATTCTGTACCATTGGTCCACCCGCCTGTTTTGGTACCAGTACCATGCTGTTTTTGTTACTATTGCTCTGTAGTATAGTTTGAAGTCTGGTATCGCTATACCGCCTGATTCACACTTCCTGCTTAGCATTGTTTTTGCTATTCTGGGTCTTTTGTTTTTCCATATGAATTTCATGATTGCTTTCTCTATTTCTACAAGAAATGCCGTTGGGATTTTGATTGGCATTGCATTAAACCTATAGAGAACTTTTGGTAATATCGCCATTTTGATGATGTTAGTTCTGCCTATCCATGAACAGGGTATATTTTTCCATCTTCTAAGATCTTCTTCTATTTCTCTCTTTAGGGTTCTGTAGTTTTCATTGTATAAGTCTTTCACCTCTTTTGTTAGGTTGATTCCCAAGTATTTTATTTTTTTTGAAGATATTGTGAATGGAGTGGTTGTCCTCATTTCCATTTCAGAGGATTTGTCGCTGATATACAGGAATGCCTTTGATTTATGCGTGTTGATTTTATATCCTGCCACTTTGCTGAATTCATTTATTAGCTCTAATAGTTTCTTTGTAGACCCTTTTGGGTCTGCTAGGTATAGAATCATGTCATCTGCAAATAGTGATAATTTAAGTTCTTCTTTTCCTATTTTGATGCCTTTAATTTCTTTCGTCTGTCTAATTGCTCTGGCCAGTGTTTCGAGAACTATGTTGAACAGAAGTGGTGAGAGAGGGCATCCCTGTCTTGTTCCAGATTTTAGAGGGAATGCCTTCAATTTTTCTCCATTCAGAATGATGCTAGCCTGAGGCTTAGCATAGATTGCTTTTACAATATTGAGGTATGTTCCTGTTATCCCTAGTTTTTCTAGAGTTTTGAACATAAAGGGATGCTGTACTTTGTCAAATGCTTTTTCCGCATCTATCGAGATGATCATATGATTCTTATTTTTAAGTCTATTGATGTGGTGAATAACATTTATTGATTTCCGTATATTGAACCAGCCTTGCATCCCAGGGATGAATCCTACTTGATCATGGTGCACAATTTTTTTGATAAGTTTTTGTACCCGAGTGGCCAGAATTTTATTGAGGATTTTTGCATCTAGGTTCATTAGAGATATTGGTCTGTAGTTTTCTTTCTTTGAAGTGTCTTTGTCTGGTTTAGGTATCAGGGTGATGTTGGCCTCGTAGAATGAATTTGGAAGTTCTCCCTCTTTTTCTATTTCCCGAAGTAGCTTGAAAAGTA